AACACTCAGTCGGCACAGTAGGAGGATAGGTTCCGATTCCGGTGCCGACTGAGTGTTGGTAATCACCACAAGAGAATCAGTCGTGGAACGGTGCGCCATGTGGGGAATTCAGAATGGAAAATGCTTAAGCAATGATGGCACTGGGTCGACGCTTGACTCGTCTAAGATGAACGCACTATTTTTCGAAGCGGGTTCGGTAAACAGATAATAATAAAACTTATCCTAATAACGGACAACAATACCCCCTAATGTGGGCTCACGCAAAACTCTTCTTTTTATTTTTCCAGCTGGTTGTTTTCGCGTTGAACGATCTCACTAACTGCGCTGGAGATAGAATTCTGAAAGAAGAAAAGAAAAAATATTGTGGAAAAATCCATATTTATTTTATAAAAGTTGTTCAATGTGTTTTCCATTCTGCTGCTTGCCGATTCCACAATAAACAAATATATGGGCAGTTAATAAGATGTTCGTCTCCCCCAGAGGGTGTTCCAACAACAACAACAACAACAACAACAACAACAACAACAACAACAACAACAGCAGCAGCAGCAGCAGCAGCAGCAGCAACAACAACAATAACAACAAAACTCGTCGTACAACGTCGAGTCAGCACACATTCGACTCAGTTCGGTGAGCTACATTGAGTGATATCACTCCCTTGGATAAATACCCTACGTGTTTCACGTTTTCGCCGTTCGGCTGTTCGGAGCAAATTCTACATCTTATTCACGCGTGTAAACTTGTTCAAGTTTCCACGCATTACCCTCATTGTGACATCAGTTTGAANCAGTTTGAAGGAAATTTTACGCTCTATCCAACGAGGTTCTATTCAGCTCTGTGTGATCATTTCTAAGAGAGCTACGGAAATAATTTGTGTCATTCAATTGTGTTCCGTTCTCCATCGCGTCTGCACGTATGTCCTTCCCTCTATCTCCAGTCTCAACGATCGATACGCACCGGGTGCCCCCGATCATGGTCTTGCACGCAGACTTTTCTCTCTGACGTATGGTTCAATCAGCCACACCGACTTCGCTTCACTTGACCTTTGTCAACAATCTCCCATCCCGTTCACAGAGCACCGAAAATGGGTCGCCGAAGTTTGTCAACGCAATTAGCCACACGAGGTTTGGGTGTGTGCGGCTGAACGGGCTGCGGAAAAGAGGTCAAGACAGGAATGCCATGCACATACTGCCAGAAGACTTTTCACACTGCATGCGCCAATCTATCGAGTAAACTGATGAAATATGCTCGCACAACAAGAGTGTTTTTGGTTTTGCAGTGATTGTATAAAAACTCTGGTTATAAAATACATATTCGGCTTTGAAAATAGGTTTGAGAAATTACTGTTTGCTGCGGAGAAAAAAGCTAATGGAAAAATTTCAGCATTAGAAGAGAAGATAACTACCATAAGATCTCAGATTCTCTCAGCGAACCCAATCCAGCGACCGACTAAGCGTCCAAGATGTTCTTTAATCAGCGCCACTCCAACGCAGTGCATACCCCTGCTGACATAAATATGGCTGCTTTAGTAACGAATGATACAGGGACAGTTCCTGAGCAGAAGAAGATCGTCCTACAAACGAAACCTGTTGTATTCACATCGAAGCCTTCGATAGTGGGGGAAAAAGGTGGGAGAAATACTGCCTTGACGCTTGTTTGCACGAATATACCTGAACCGACAAAACAACCACTGAGAGAACGACAAGAAGAACAGTTGGAACACTGGTAGGGTTTGTGCACGCAGACGGGCATTAATGTTCTACCCGGGGGCCTCACAAGACTTATGCGCCAGCCGACGTCGCCACATGCCGGGGAAACCAGACTACTCCGGGTGACCCTGAAAGATGAAAAGGACTTGGAGGACATTCTTCTTTCTGGTTACCTTCTCAGAAATGGTCCCTGCAAAACCAGAGCTTTTTCTGATAGACCATGAACGGAACGAATGCAGCATCAGTCCAATCCAATGAGAGCACGGGTGAAGGAAAATAAGAGGGTAGTCCTCATCGATGGTGTCTCGCAGTTGGACGATCCAGATGAATCTAAAAGCTATCAGAACGACCGACGAGAATGGGGATTCATTCAAAATTTACTTGGGTGTCGTGGTCTTCTGATAACCTCAATCAGTCGTCTTTCCTGTTCACCAAATTACCATGGAAACAGTCCGAGGATAATGAAAGTTACTCTTGGCACTTCAGAAATGGCCAATACCGTCTTGCAGTTATGGCGCACACGAAAGAACAGAGAGCCTCCGGAACTACGTGTGAGACCCTTACTAAATCCCGGGCTCTAAACACGTTCATATCCCGAGAACCCTACTAATACATCGGATCACTTAATGCAAGTACCAAATTCCGTCCCGCAACTGGTGGTCCAAAGTACCAGAGCTTCTCTATCAAGAAACTAATGGTAGCCGACCGCGAAGGGATCGGCCAAGATACCACTTCTAATCCAATCGGATTTCTACACCGACTATATTTAAACTGTTGCTACACCAATGCTCAAGGACTCCTCAGCAAATTTCCAGAGCTGAATTTTCGTTTCATATCAGGTCAGTGAGATGTTATTGCTGTAACAGAAACGTGGCTTGCAGGTGATATTCCGGACTTCGAATTGTTCTTACCAGAAATGTCTCCGCTCAGATGCGATCGTCCTACCCGTGGTGGTGGTGTTCTACTCTATTATTGAAAAAAATCCTGATTGCGAGCAAATCCACCCCCCACCCCCCAGTTTCGAAACCTGACACTCTGTGGTGTAGGTTGAGATTGTCCAAACACGATCACTGTTTCATTGGTGTCATCTGTCGCCCTCCGTCAGCCATGGAATCAGCCAATATGACTCTTTTGAACACTGTGTTACACATTCTCGCAAAAAGATTTACACATGTTCTACTTATAGGTGATTTCAACTGTCCCAACCTCGGCAAACCATCAAACCGTCACTTATTCGAACAACAATTCATAAAGCTAATTGCCTCACAACCACTGTACAACCACGTGAAAGAGCATTGCCAGATTTGGAAACTTGCAATCATCCATACAAGATTTGGTGTTGACAAACGAAGAGTTGATGATAGAATCCGTCGCCGTAACGACCCCTCTGGGACGAAGTGACCATGCTGTACTGTTGTTCAACTACATTTGTTACGCTTCTGTCAAAGTAATTAACCCAAACAACGTTCGCACATTCATAAACTATGCAAAGTTGCAGAGACTGGCTCCTTCCATTCAATGGATAGGGAAGAGCACAACCCTTTAGTCGTATGGCAGGAATTTACTGACAGTCTGCAACAATTACTGGCTTCAGTAACGCAGTTAAAGGTTGTTACCAAACCCAGCAGCCGGAAATCACCTATTCGAAGCCGTACAAAGAAATGGACATTTCTGAGGGACCTCTCTTGGAGAAAGTACAAACGAATTCCAAATGCATGCACCTGGACTAATTACCGACTGCTGCAAAACCACTGCACCAAGTTGGTGCGTGAAGATAAACTAAACCATCAAGAATCTCTAGCACAAAGACTTATTTCAAACCCCAAGCTTTTGTACAAACATGTTAACTCAGCTCGAAAAGTTAAACATGAAATACCGGTGCTCAGTTCTCCCGGAAGAGTCACAGCCAATACAATGGAAGCCGCTAAAATGCTGAAGAACCAGTACGCCCAAGTTTTTGCTGCGTCAGCTAACGAACAACTGCACCTCCCTTGCTGGATGCATCATATTCCACATACTTCACTAACCAACGTATCATTCACTACCAAAAAAGTGAAAGCAAATCTGTTGGATTTGAGGGGCAGACAATATTCACCCCCAAATCCTTATCTGCTTGGCGAATCAAATATCCGAGCCACTAGCCTTCCCATTCCAGAGGATGTTCAATCACACTGCAACCCCACCGTCGTGGAAGCAGGGAGTAATTTCACCCATTTACAAAGGCGGTTGCCGCAGCGATCCTTATAACTACCGCCCTGTAACCCCCCTTCAAGTGCTGTCCAAAGACATGGAATCTATAGTAGCAATTCGCTGATGGAACACCTAGAGAAGCACAACGTTTTGTCACCGAATCAATATGGATTCCGACAGAAGCGATCCTGCGCTACCAAGTTGCTGATCGCACGAAAAGAATGGACAAAAGTAGTTGATGACGACGCCGCGGTAGAAGTTATTTATCTTGACTTCTCAAAAGCGTTCGATCGGGTGAACCACGACATTCTACTGAGGAAACTCTATAATCACGGTATTCGGGGCCTCGTGTTTGGTTGGCTCGAAACATTTCTCCGACATCGGACCGTATCGGTTCGCTTTTCCGATTCGTTTTCCAGTCCTATGGACATTACCCGTGGAGTTCCACAAGGATCTGTGCTTGTCCCGCAACTTTTCCTAACATTCATAAACGACCTACCGAAGGCACTGG